GAGATTTGGTTAACTTTACTAAAATGAGAAGAGTAAGTACCAAGTATAACATTGATAGCATTCAAATGCATCTTTTGACTTACATCATAATATTAATTTTAATAATTGATACCACGTGAGTCTGTATCTTTAAATATGCATAAAATTATTTATTTTTACTGTTTCTACAGTACACAAGAATCATACACAGTCTTTTACAGCATCAGAAAGACCCTTATGATTTTAACTTTGATCCTGAGGTACATCAATTCTTCAGTTACAGAAACAATTTACTATTTTTAACACTAATAGATATCTAAAGTTCTGCTGACAACAGAGTTGCCAGGAGATGAGAATGCTCTTTATGAATATGTTGATGAGCTTAGAGACTGTCCTTTATCACCTTCTTCCTCATCCTCCTCTTCCTCTGAACAATAGATAAATGCATTATCATTATAACACTTCATGTGTCTCAAACATGTTAACTTTATACTGTCTGTTTTATTTTGTATTTTATTTGTCCAAAATTTTTTTACCATATTTTATAAATTGCAAGCACAGATTTTGCAGAGAGTTTGAATGTTTTATAATCTCTTGCTTTTCATAAATATATTAATTTTTTTTAATTTTATGTGTGTATAGCAATATTGTTTTCTCCTCCACAATGATTATTTATATGCACTTGATTATCACAGGTGACTGGCATCATTAGCATCAGGCCATTACATGTAGCTCTCAAATTTTAGACATGAGTCTCTTCAAATTTAGACTAATATAACATTGTGTTGTTAATGTTATGGTAATATAACAGTCTAGACTCAATATTAATTCATCACAGATTTTGCATTTCCAATTTATTGCTACTTTAAATTTGCATGTAAATGTAATGTTCTAAAAACTCTTAATGCACCCTGCGTTGCATAGAAACACACCTTTTTTATGATGTTTGAATCTATTATAATAGGCAATACTGAATTTAAAAATTTAAAAAATTGTTAAAAATTACAAAAATAATTATATTAACAACGATTTCTAATAATAGTAATACTAATAATAATACTAATAAAAATGTTTTTAAAATTAATATTAAATACTTTAATTAATTAAATTTTACTTTAATTAAAAACAACGTAGAGAAACAGCATTCATATGTTTATACAATTTGTAAAGAACAAGTTAGCATTCTAAGTTAGGAACAAATTAATAGGTTAAGTTAGTAAAATATAAAATTGTTGTTGATGCTGACCCAATCTTCAAAGCTCATGCCTCTCCACTTGGTATGAGAGCCTCAAATACAGAGGTGGGTTGCACGAACCAAAGCGAAACTGATCTTTGTTCTCACCCAGTTTAAAGTTGTACTATATATAGGATTTATCCCATTTGACTGCTAACCTATCAGAAAGGAGCTTGATAAACGTGTGCATCTCTGGACTTACCAGACCATCAACAATGCTGCACAGAGGAGTGAAAGAAGCATGTTGAATTTCACATATATGACCATATTTTGATTTCTTTTTTCTCTCTGCATTAAGAAGTACTCGGTCAGGTGGAATAGATTGGTAGGAGGGAGCATCCAAATCCAGTACCCAAATGTCAAAAAGGGACATTGCTTGTGGTTGCCAGGCACCCCTAATGCCCACATATCTTCTAAAAACAATACTGCTCGTATTATATATAGAGACCCTTATCACAATGAAGGCAAGGTTTTAATGCATCAACTGGAAATTGAACAAGCCCAAATTAGAATCCTTATGTAACAAATTAAACTAGTAAAGGTTTTTATATCATTGGTCTCAGCTTGAGCATGATTTTAAAGATTTAATGGAAAGTATTGCACTAACTCAGCTTCACATGCTGCATGAACTGAAGTGTACAATCTGGATCAGATTACGTGACAAAAGCGGTGACATAATCAGAATAAGAAGCTTGCAAAAAAAGGGAATAACTATGGCAAGACTTAATTGTCTATAGGTAATGCCTTCGTGTCAATATGGTGCTTCAAATATTGGTATATCTTTCTTCTTACAGCAACATCCCTAAACATTAAAAACGATTTCCTAACTCCCTTTCTTTTTGCTAATAAGTGTACGCAGGTGATGCCCTTTTTATCTTGAGATTTAGGATCTAGTTTATGCTTTTCAACTAGTTCTTTTACTATACTAATATCTCCTCCCTCACATGCTGCATGAAGTAAACCACGTCCTCTATTATCCATTACATTAACACCTTGAGGATAAATACTGGATAAATAACGAAACACATCAATATGACCATTGCCGCAAGCTGTATGTAATACAGTACATCCTTTATTATCAGTAGCTGTAAGGAGATCATGATGAATAGAACTACCAGTGACTGAGAACAGTAAAGCTTCAGCGGTATCCTTATGACCAGAGGCAACTGCTAAGTGTAATGGTGTCTGTCCTTTCTTGTTAGTAATTAATATATTGATATTATAAGCGCTGGATAAAAATGATACTACTTTTGTTTGTCTCCACATACAAGCAAGGTGTAGTGGTGTGTTACCATCTTTATCTTGTACATTAATAAGTATGCTTAACTCATTTTTCAATAAAAATCCCAATATTTTAAATTGTTCCGTAGCTATAGCAATATGAATTGGTGCACGGTTTTGATGATCAGTTACATTAGGATTACAATAATTATTATCAATGAGATACTTCAATACACTCAAGTGACCCCTCTCTACTGATATGTGAACTGCTTGAAACCCTTTATTATCAGTAGCTGATAGATTACACTTCTTACTAACAAGATATTTAATAACCTCTAACTGATTGAAGTACACTGCAATAAGGAATGGAGTACGACCATGTTTACTGTGGGGTAGTTCAAGTGATGATGGTATGTGTTCTATAATGTACTGGATCAAGTTCAGTCTTCCCTTTTTACATGCTAAGTGAATAGGAGCCAGTCCCTCATCATTCAGAGCACATAGATCTAACTGATAATTCTCTACCAAATGTTTGAGTATAGGAAGAGAGTCACTGTACTCACAGGTAATGTGAAGAACTGTTGATCCATTAGAAGTCTTAGCTGCTACATTACACTGAGGAAGACTAGTGAGATAAAATACAACGGGAACATGGCCTCCTTCACATGCTCTATGAAGAACTGTACTACCAGTATCAGTAGTAGTGGCATTAAAATCACACTGATACTTGTTGATCAGTTCCTGTAGACAATGTAGCTTACCTTTATAAGCAGCTGAATGAGCTAGTGTATACTTGTTATTGCTAGTGTGATTAGTGGTATCCACACTATATTCCTGACTGTACCATTCCAGTATATGAGTATGACCATTTTGTGCTGCTCCATGTAATGCTGTTAAACCATATTTATCAATAGCTAGAGGCTCAAGTTTATACTGTTGTATTAGTAATTGTATTAGATCAAGATTACCTGATAAACAGCCATATGTAATACATGTACTACCACACGTATTTTTAGCATTGACATCACATTTCATATCATTTATTAGAAATGTGACCAATTGAATATTACCACTCTCACATGCTAAATGCAATGTTGTTTTACCTTCACTGTCAGTAGAGTGTAGTAAAGTAATGTACTGAGGATAATGACTGGTGATATGAGTGATAAAATGAGTGTGACCACTGAATGATGAATAACGAATAGCATTCCAACCTCTGGAATCTGTTAGACTCAGACTGCACTTGTAATCCTTCACATACAATTCCAGTAGTATAATATTACCAGATTCAGCAGCATAATGAATTGGCAGCTTACCATTACTGTCAGCTTGATGAGGATTTAACTGATAGGTAGTTATTAATTTTTTAACAAGAGATAAGTTAAGAGACAGTGAGGCATAATGTAAAGCAGTGAGGCCATTTTTATCAACTGCAGTGGGAGACAAACCTTGTTCAGTAATAAGATATTGAACTAAATCAAAGTTACCACTCTCTGCAGCACGATGTACTAATGTCTTTCTGTCATATATTTTATCAATATCACAATGTCCATTAATGAGATACTGTGTCATATCAATGCAACCATTTCTACAAGAATGATGAAGACATGACATACCATCATTATCAGTGATATTAGGATCACTGTTATGATTACTAATAAGATACTTAACAGAATTAATGTTACCTGACCAGCAGGAGTAGACTAATGGTGTACGACCATAAGTATCAGTATCATTAGCATTGAGATTATACTGAGATATGATATAACTTAATACACTAGTAGAACCTGACCAGGCAGCATAATGTACTAGAGACATACCATCATTATCTAATGTACAATTGATATTATATTCTTCTAATGCTTTCACTAGCAATGTACTGCCACTCCATGATGCTAAATGGAGTAATGACAGACCATCATTTGTAGTCGCATTGATTTCAAAGTTAGGGCAAGTGCTAGCTTTCTCGAGAAGTGAAGAAAGTATTTTTACTCTTACATTTCGTTTGATAAAATTAATATTTTGTGTCATTCTAGTATTATTAATGATCTCAATAACTGATGCATCACCTTGAGCCATAAGCTTACTATACACAATACCAGCTGGAATGTGTATACCTGCATTAGTTACATAATGTAAGCATGACATGCCATCATTATCATTAACTAATAATGCTTCATTACCTTGAATACTAAGAATATACTCAACAACTAATGATGAAGCATACCATGAAGCATAATGAAGTGGAGTCTTACCATATCGATCCTTTACATCAATTGATAATTGATATCGATTTAAAAGATACTTAAAAAGCTCAACACTTTGATTATTAGAAGAACAAGTATAATGTAGTATACAAGACCCTGAATTAGATATGTCTTGTGAGAAATGGTTTAATGATTCAAGCTTGTGGATTAATACTATTTCTCCACTTTGACAAGCTAACAATGACAATGAGGCACCGTCACAATTTATTTGAGAAGTATTACAATTTCTCTCAATAAAAAATTCCACTAGGTCAGAATGGCCCCCCATTGCTGAGTACAGTAACGCAGTGTTATTGCTATTGTCTGGTTGATCAGGAGGAATGTGACACGTGTCTACTAGATACTGTACTATAGATAAGTGGCCTTTATAAGATGCCATATGTATACTAGATACACTATTATCATCACCTTCATTAGGATCAATACCATATTGATAGATGAGTAGTTGAAGGATCTCAATGTGTCCACCATATGATGCCGAGTGTAATGGAGTCCAACCATGAAGACCACGATGATATGTGCTGTAACCAAACTTGTTAAGAAGCCATTGTACTTCATCTTTTAATCCTCTCCAAGCTGCTTCATGTAATGGTGTGCTGGTATTCTCATACCATAATGGATCACATATATCTAAATAAAGAATACATTTATTATTAATGTAAAGTAAAACACTCCACACACCATCTACCATATCATTGATACAAATCACAAGCTGGTCAAATTTTAAAAATCCAATTTTCATCTGCTTCTTAACAAGCATTACATACACAGCCACATTGATCAGGTCTGAAACCAGGCCTGATATTATTGTGGAATCAGCTGTGATGCAATCATGATATACAATCGTACTACATCAGGTCAGAGCAACAGGCATAATCAGCAACAATGTCTGTCAGGACTGTCCCAGTACTAATTGTAATATTAATTTTGGATAACATTTCTGAATCAGGCCTGAAAATATTTGGCTGTGTATGCATGAGTAAGTGTAATAAAAAATGTCATACTATGGGTAAGTCTTTATTGCTATAGCAACTTTTGATGTGCCATGGGAGTTATACACTCATACATTCACGGCCCATTATATGCATATTTTATAGTACGGTTACTTGTTTTGACAAGTCAATTAATTGAGCACATGAGCAAGACACATTGTGTTACAGATATCAACCTGCCTGGTGAGTGTTATAGGACTATAGTACCCAAGACTGGCTTTATTCAACTCGTTCACTGAGGTATATGCTGATTTCTTTCAACCTGGAAATATTTGTCATTCCTTTCATCAAGAAAAGTCTTGGGCTATGGCCTAAACTACTTTTCTCGAGGGTGTTATACATTTCTAAACCCTCCAGACAAGTTGATATCCAACACAAAATTTTTTTCCAAATAAAATTTCATATGTGAGTATGCAATATACTTGTTATGCAACAAGAGAAATTAAATGTCACTTCAGTAGTATAAAAAATATATATACTTAAGTTACTTTGTACTTACCAATATCAGCAGATGAATACTTTACCTTTTCTATTGATAGCTGTAAAATTATTCTAACTTAATTTTTATTTGCATAATTATTATCACAAACCTCTCTTAGATCATATTTATCTTCACCACATGTTAGCTCAGTGATACCAATACTAGCTAACTGTTGCTGTAGCTTTGTAGGTAGAGGAAATAATAAAGTGTAAAGATACTCAGGAATGAGATGTTTTAGAACAACAGAACCAGGACGAACACGAAGAAAATAAATATTAAAATGAGGAATGTCACATTCTTTTGGTATTGCACAACGAAAGAAAAAAAGATCATCCATTGTATAGTCATCACGTTCGACTTTAGCAATCATTACTCGTGTACCAGGAGGAACATCTGTTATACCAAACTGTACAGCATCAACATCTCTTAATAGTCCACCACTATTTATAAAATAATCCTTTAACTTCTCTTCATATGCTGACCAAGTTCTGTTCAAAGCATTTTTCTTGCTCAGAAACACTCGAACAAGTTTAACTATCAGTTCATAGTTAAACCATGATATATACTTGTACTGTAAGGTTGCAAAAAGATCTTTCATTGTTTTAATGTCACTAAACTCTTCTCTAACTCCTTGCACTGCACTAGGATTTTTGCTTCTATTAGGACCCAACAGAGCATGAACACGTAATTTAAGGTAATCAATGATTTTAGGAAGAAGTGCTGGCTGACTTACAAAAGATTCGATTGTTGGTTGTAATACATCAGCAAAATCATTCTGTAGTTCGTGTATTTTCTTTGTTAAGGGGTAATTTTTTTCAGGACAATGAACATAATCTGCATAATCTGTAAAAAGTAAAATTAAACAATAATCATTATTTTTATATAAAGCAATACAATTAGACTATTTTTATCACTTTAAAAAGGCATAATCTCATGAATAAAGATTACCCTCATTTGTCATTTCAAATTTTATATTATTAATAAATTTTTTAAGGGAGGCCAGTTATTATTATTACTATTATTTTTATTAAATTTTTGAGGGATTCAAACAACAAAAAACCCAACATAACACACACAGCCTTAACTCTTGTCAGAGTTATAGGAAAATAGATAAAATTTGAGCAATGTGTAGTGAGAATTTTTAAACAAAAATTTAAGAGTGAGTTTTGGTAGATAATTTGAAATTAGAGCAAAAAAATTTTAGAGGCTTATGACAATTATAAGTAGATGTGAAAAATTACGCATCAGTGTTATAAAGCAGAATATATTTTACCTATTGAATTATTTGACTTTCTAGGTGATATTGAGGGTGACATTACATCACCAACAAAAGAGCTACCTCTTCTAGCAGCTGGTTGTGGACAAAAACTTTCATTATTACTTGAGTTGCCTGCTCCTAAAAATCCTTATTATGATTCCAACTATTGGCCATTATTAGATATACCTGTTAACGCAGATGGTGATATTCCTTGTGTGGTAGCTGGTAGAGGATGAGGAGTAGCTCCTCCAGTAGTAGCTGGTAGAGGATGTTCATGAGCTATTTTTTCAGCCAATGCTGAGTTTCCCCCACCTTCTTTCACAGCTACACAAAGCGATCTCCAGCATGGAATACTATATGCTTCATAATCATAATTTTTGTTCAGCCAATGTTCTATAACTTTCTGCAGACAAGATATTATATTTCCATGAGAGCTAGCTTCTATGATATTAATGTCAGTTATTCTCAAACGTAAAGAAATAGCAACAGATTTCCAGCTAGCAGAAATAGACTTCACTTTATCATAAACTAAATGATACTCATCAATACCTACACAAATTTTTATAAAATATAATAGTTAACTGAGTACAAACTCACTCAATTCTTTGTTGCAAACGTTGATAAAATCAGAGGGAGAAAAGTTTGTTGCCATTATGATCAGGAATTTTCATACCCACGCAAATGACGCATGTCTGCGTGGGTGTTTTGCTTGCAGACAGATGGAGAAGAGTCAGCCTCGGAGTCAGCACTCTTGTAATAATGTTTCATTTGAATTTCTATTTCAGAGAGTGATTTGATACATTTCACCTTTCAATTTCCATAGTCCGTGGCTCCGTGTTACAACACACACGCTGTCACTGGTGAGTTGAGTACTTGGTATTTTATAGTTATAAATTATACTCAAAATGGTGTCAGTTTTAGATCTTCTATTTTTATTGGGTTAAAATTTCAGTGTAAAAGTCAATCGATTGTGTGTGTACCATTTTCCATTTACAGTCTTGCAGGCCCAGGCTACACTCATTTGGGCAGAAATGACTGTAGGCTGGGAAAATGGTGGATTTCAATTATGGCAATTTCTACATGTACCATACAGGGGTTATATTTCACTGGAAATAAATTTCGCATTTTCATTAAATTCCGCACGAAATTAAATTCCACAAAAGAGGTGTGGCACACTAGGAAAAATGGCTGCAGAAGGTAGGATTCGCGAAAATTTATACCAACAAATGGCAAATCTGGAAAAATTCGTGAAATTTTATACCAACAAAATAAAACCCCTATACAGTATCCAATAGCCAATATGAATTACTCGCCAATAAATCATCTTGTGTGATGATTCTTATAATAATGCAATTTTTGCTAATTTTCAAAAATAGGCCACTCCAATTTTAATTGTTTTCTCTATCCTGCCTGCATAACTGTGAGCCCGACCCTTATATACTAGCATATACCCATGTCAAGCATTATTTCAACTGCCCATAATAATAACAAAGCTGAACTCATGGTCTGATGCCCATTTGTTTTTTTGGTGCAAGATTTCTCCTACGATTGTTTCCTGTTTTTATCACCTTGAATTTATCATATCTTTTAATTCACTAAGACTTGACTTATAGAGGGGGTTTTGTGCATCTTCTATAGTTTCTTGAAACTTGTCATGACAGTCTTTAGACAGAGTTTATGTCTTATTTAGAAAACTCAAAACTGTTAGAGGAAATATCTAGTTACCGTACAGGGCAAAATGTTCGCAGGACGAAAATTTCATAAAAATGAGTCAAAAAGATATTTGTAGTTTTTATTTTCATGAATTCACTGCAACAGACCAATAAATATCATATGACCAGTTATTTTTGTGGTTGAAAATGTCGCGGATTTACTTTATCGGCAGAATTTGCGTCCCGCAAACATTATGCCCTGTACAGTATTCAAATTTATCTATTTATTTAGAGGGGTATCTTAGAGTTATTTTACTTTGTGTAAGGTACATATACGTTGTACACGGGCAGATTTACTTGGTTGCTAACACTAAGCATTGTTCTGCCTATGATGGTTGAAACCATCTCAACAAATGAACAATCAGTTTAATCTCTTGGTTTAATAGCCATGTTATTCTAGTATACATAAGTTTCAAAGGAATAATTTTGGTCTTCGACCACTTCTTTTTCTAGGCAGAACATAATGATAAGTTGTCTGTTTTCAATAAGAAAATCAAAAAATGTAAGTGTGATAAACATGCCTTGCTTCCTTAATTATCACATTATGAACAACATATGGACCAATTAATACACCATTAACATTATTATTATGCTTAACCTTACACACTCTCTCCATATCCTGTAGTATTACATGTATAACATTCACTAGCTGTAATTGTTAATTAGATTATGTGCCCACACAAACAATAATTAGACACTGTTTAGAATGCTTAGAAACTTTAATGGCTACTACTTTGTGTTTTTAGTAATACATGTACTAGTCTTGTCCCACCCCTTCGCTACCTAAGGGAGTGAGTGAGACTATACATGTATATGTATAATCTTTACACATGTGTATTAAATTTTTACTATATTTTTTAGTGATATTATGATGATGTTTAGGGTAGGCAAATTATGCTTCAATTTCTGCCTATTATGCTTTTTAAGGCCTTCATACACTAGGCAACATGTTGCTGGCAACTTCTGTGGTCACTTTGATCTTGTGTCTAAGAATAGAATTCTGTTCTATTTTTGGAACAAAATGATTACAAGATCAAAGTAACCACAGAAGTTTCCAGCAACATGTTGCCTAGTGTATGGAGGCCTTAAGGCACTGCTCCAAATTCCATCCTATTAGGCTTTGAAATGAATCCTATTAGGCTCATTGTTATGCTGATATATTCAAATATCAAGTTACATGTACATGCATCTGTTGTAATTGCAATATTATAATAATGCCAGAATCTAAAATGTTTCCAGACTTTGAGTCACTGCAAAATAGCACAACCAAAGCTACTGAACTTGCCACACTTGCATGTTACTTAAAATCATGTGGTCAGTCGGAAATTTTTGACCTACCGTATAGCGCTTTATTTTGGCGGCACTTTATTTTGGCGATTTTGCTGTAAAATTGTAATTGGCGGTTTTTAATTTGGCGATTTTGTGTGCACGTGCATTACTGAACATGTGCATTAATGACTGGCGGTTTTAATATTGGCAATTCTGCTTCCAAACTGCCAATCGCCAAAATAAAACTCTGCCAAATTAAAGTGTTATACGGTATGCTCCCATTATGCTAGCATAATAATTTGCCCCATTATGCTCCAAATTATGCTAGCATAATTTGCCTAGCCCTAATGATGTTTCTATTAGATAACTTGTTTTATACAAGATATTCAAGAGCTGAAGTCCCACACTCCAATAGAACATGTTGATTATGCAGCACTGTCTGAAATAGGAACTGAATTGGCACAAAGTAGGTGACAATACACATTATCCCTTTATAAAAACAGCATAGCAAAGTATGTGACAATACACAATACACATTACCTTATAAAAATTGATTGGCAAAGTAGTGACACATTAATATTAATAATACTCATTAAAGTCTCTAGCATGACCTCATTTAATTATGTACACATGCATATTAACTCCTTTTTTCTTTCTGGCCCTTTCATATTGCAGGGTGTGACAGATGAAGTGTTGTATTCTGAAAACATTCGTAACGTTCTTAAAATAGAGTCCAAAATAGAAGTAGGTTGCCCTGTGCTCTTAGACAAGGAGCAGGCATTAGTTAGAAAGGGTAAGTACATGTATATTAATTGCTAAGTTATTTTACATCTCTTCTTAAAGGTATTCTCTGTATCTGGAGACAGGATGATAAACTGCTCACTTTCTCCAGAAAGACAAGAAGGAGGCAGAACTATTGCTTCCTGTTTTCAAAGCATTTCCTAGTGACACAGAGAGTAGAGAAGAAAGGAGAAGAAGGATACCGTCTGTTGAAAGAGAACAGGTTGCTCTCACTCGCTAAATGTAGGATACATGAACATGCACTCCCTGAGTATCCACGTAACGTAATACATGTACATGTACATGTACAGTATTTACCTTAAAGAGAAAGTTATTAGTGTGTACTTATTGTAGCGATTTTCATGATACTGACATTTGGCTGGTATTTTATTTAGCATTTTCGTCATTTAATAGTAATGACTATCAATAATTTAATTAGAAATTAATTTTAGTGTGGACTTAAGTTAGTGACGGTTTAAATTGCTAAAATTCACTAAATTAAATACCCACAAGCTTGTCTCCTTAAGGTACATGACATGTATTATTGAATTTATGTATTGCTGGTTATGTACATTATACTCATCATTATTTTACTCTTATCTCTCTCTTTTTTGTTTTTTTTTATTTTTAGAGTTACGTTTTCTCAGTTTTGGTCTTGAGATTGATGATGGTTCACAGAGTCAGTCTAAGCAGAAGTTGATATTTATTGCAATGTCAGTGGCAGAGAAGGCACAGTGGATAGCTGATATTGCTCAGGTACAGCGTATATAAATTGTGTTTTAAATACTTTGAATAAATACTAACCATGTCAATAATTGCCTTTTTCCCATGAGCTTTATTAAAAGCAGCAAAATTGTTACACCAATTTTATTAAAGATTAAAAGTACTACATCAGTTACTTAATGTTTTGTTCCTGTAGTGTATTGAAAATGAGAAACAGAATAAAATACTTCAAAGCCAAAGGTGAGTGATAATTAGTGATACTCACCATAGTGATACTAGTGACTGTGAGTTTTAATGATAATTATTTATTTATTTTATTTTTCTCTAGTCAAGGGGAATCTGTTGAGCTCAATTCAAAGTTTATGCGATACAGCACATTTAGAAGCGGAAAAGAACAACTGGTAAAAAATAATTTGAGTTGCTTATTTCAATATTTTTACAACCTTTTGCCCCAGGATTGTTTTCACCCATTTGTGATGAATAATTACATGTATAATATTTATTTGTACAGCTTGTGTTACACTTACATTTCTTCTATACACGTTGTATTGGAGAAATAACAATTAAAATGCCTTAGCAATCTACCCTCCTACTACTTTAAAGCATTATAAGGTAGAGAGAGCTTTTATAAGTTTTAAGAATCTTACTATGCATGCAAGGTGATAAAAACAATCTTAGTTTACACTAGTTATTATGCTTAAAATGGCCATAGCGCAAAAAAATTCAGTTGGAATCAGCTCAAACTTGGTACATAGCATGAAGACGTCAATGTGTATTCAGAAAATGTAATAAAAATTTTGGGTGATTTTGGAGCCATTTTTTAGAAAAATGATGGGCTATTATGGTACAGGGTACAGATTTTGGCTAAATTTTAAAATGGTCATAACTTTAAAAATTTACAGTCAGAATCAGCTCAAACTTAAAGACATCAAAACACATCCCAAGAAACTTCTCTGGTTTATTTCAAATGCTTTATAAAGTAGAACCCAGCTACACATGCAAAATAGTAAAACAACAATTTTACAAATGTATACTTGTTTTT